CCCGAAACACCCTAAAACCGCTCCACAACCCCAAACCCAACAACAGCGCCTTTATAGTATCCTTACTTATTATACTTGCCCTTATCTTATCGTATCCCTGTTGGTCAGCCTAGGAGTGGCCCATAAAATGATGAGCCTTACTGTGGCAACCGTACACGAGGCCGTATTGTCAGGAGCCCGAAGCCGGAAACCCCGAAGCCCCACAAGCCTAGGCTCTCATGGGTTGAAGGATGAAGCGTTTGGGGTTTACACTAAAAAACCTGTCATACGGATTTGTAAAAAGACTCATAATAAGGAGCGCTCAAAAGGTATGTTTTACAGGGTCCAGGTAGGGCTTAGCATTCAACAACCCCACGTCTCAACCTGAAAAGTTCGAGGCGCTAACACTTAAAACCCTAAGACCAAAAGCACATCTGCAAATGCAAGACATTTCACGACCTCGGAGAACGCCAAAAACCAAACCATACTGAGTCAAAAACAAACCCTGAACCATTCATCCTACATCTTTTTTAGCTTCCCATATTCACCGCTTTGCATTGGCATTGGCTTGAAAGCTCCCATATTCAGCAGACGTTGATGCAGAAGATGGATACGCAGAACACTACGGTAGACCAGATGGTCATTTGACTTCCCGAGGGTCGTACGCTGGACTGGTACATCGACGCCGCCATCGACAGCTCAGGATTTTCGCCGTCGTTTCAGGTTCAATGCACTCATCATCTCCTTGATCAGCTTGCGGTCCCGTGCCCGCTTGTGCTTGAGCTCGATCACCTGTTCGCTCAGCACGCCGATCTTTCCACTCTTCTGCTGGCCTTGCTGGTTGACTGTCACCACCGCTCTGCCTAGCTCGTCTATCTAACGGGCGAAGAAAGAGGAACCCCAACAACAGAGGATGCGGCCATGCCACCCCCCCCGGCTCTTCTGACTGAATCCTCGGCCCGGAACTCGACAACCCAACCACATTAAACCACCGACTCCGGAAACCCTGATATAGTGGCCTCAGTACTTAAAACAGGTTTTTGGGGATGGTATCGCTATGATGAGGAGCCCTAAGGAATCGATTGGTAACTGCTCAGGCTTCCATATTACAGATTTAGGGCCCGATTCAACAGGTGCCTCCACGGCTGCGCTCGCGGAGGAGGCTCTGGCTGAGGCCTGCAATGATGCTGGCTTGATGCGCATCAAGTGTTCAACCTGTTGAAACCCCCAAACTTCCAGCCCCCCAACCTAAACACCTAAATCCCAGGCATAAAACTCGGAAAACATCATCAAGTCCTTTGCAAAACCCTTCTAGACTTATAGAACCCTGATAAACCCCTCCGGAACCCTACCTAACCAAACGAAACCCTAAACCTAAACTCTCCATATAAACCACTTAAGACCCCCTTAAAAACCTTATCAAAAACCTCACCCGAAACCCCCAACCCAAAACCCTGCAAGAACCCTACCCAAACAACCCCTATAGACCCTAAACCCCTAAACCCTTCCCTACTAAACCCTAAACCCTGCCCTACTAAACCCTAAACCCCTCAACCCTCACCTGCTGAACTAAATCCTAAGCCCCCAAAACGGAGGATCCCCAGCCTTTTCCGAGTCATCGTCCAGCCAGGTTTTCTTCAACTCCCAGGGCTCCGGCCTTCGAATTTGGGGGTTTTACCTGGGCCCTTCAAAGCCTATCCCAGAGGGTCCAAGTACTCCCTACTATAGGACTTGAGGGCCTGTTTAGGGCATCTAAAACCATAAATAAGGACTACTTGGACCCTCGGGGTAACAAAGCCTATGTCCTACTTGTCGGGTATCATGGGGAACTTAAGGTTAACCTTTTGGGTTGTATAGGATTATACAGGGACCATACTACCAAACAAAAGTTAAAGGTTGTCTAATCTACTACTAGGATGTTGTCGGGGTTGCGCAACATAAGGGCAACGGCCTTTCGGGCTTATTTTGCCGGATTCAGGCATGGAGTAGAAGGGCACACGGGATGGTTTTCATAGCCTCAAACTTAATGCTGCTTGCGGGTTTGTTATCGTAACAGATTACAAAAGTCATAAGGGGATCTAGAAAACTATGCAGCGTCTGGAGAGAAGGGCGTCGCCTTTGCCAGAAGTATTCGCAGCACAGGGCTATGGCAACCCACTAAATTCCTAAAGCTCCACGACATATTCTAGCAGGGTCTTCGAATCTTCCTTGCATTCGCTCGCAGAATCCGGCGGACAGTTTCCAGACAAATTCTAATTCTAGAAAAGTGCTCTGGCTTTCTGGTGATCGGATTCCGGATCACCGCGAGTGTTTTTTTGTTTGTTTCCGCTGGGGCTGGCGATTTAACTTATGAGCACTCTCTTCTTCATAACATTTCAAATAAATCTTGAAACATCTTTACGCTCTAACCCATAATCATAAACCCATGATCCCTCAGCCCTAAACCCACAAACCTATTAACCCTGAGCCCTTCAACCCAAAACCCATAAACCAGGACCCTCGGAAGCCCCAACAGCCCTGTGCGGAACTTTGTCTATTTGGGGGTTCCAAAATTAGGGGTACCTTATTTAGGTGCCCTGACAATAAGATCCTACTATTTAGGGTACTATATCAGGGTCCCCTGTTTTCGGAAACTCCCATGTGAGGACACCTCTGGCGGTGGGCTTTATAGAGGCGGATCTCGCGTTTTGGGCTGAGGGAGACGATGCTCTAAAATGAATTCAATGCCACTATTTACATGTTCAACATGGTTATGTTTTATGAATACAAGTTACAATAATAATGATGTGAATAGTAATCATGAAATACGTGATGGTGATTCTGGGCAGTATCTATCTTGTAAAATTTTAAGGCGCTATGAGGGGACCAGCCTCTTTGTACCGTCCATGCAGTGGCAATGCTTGGTACAGCACCCGGGCGGCACTGCCGGCGGATGGCCTGGAACAAGTCTGCAGAAACTGGCGAAAACAAGACACACTTAAACAGGAACTGTTGCTTGGAAATTCTCCGTTGCTTAGGTCCCGATCCGGGTGGGGATAGCGTTTCGGGTTCGTGGTTCCGTTGCACCAACCCATCCCGATCTCTTCAATCTTCTACACCCCCACACCCCTTGTGAATCCGAGTAGTACACCCCTCCCCTCACGAGAAAAGGAACCCTTAAAGGGATCCCTAAATACCCTTACAGGAGACCTGTAAAGGAACCCTGTTCTTGTATTCAAAGCTCTTCTGCTGCCTGTACCCGAAACTTCCGCCCCTATGTGCTCGACCTCCTGAACCCTTAAGGGTCCATGTACCCAAGGAGTATATACTAAGGGCTCCTTTAAGGGTTCCCATATGGGGTCTATAATAAGGGACTTGGAAGGGTTCTATACGGGTTTAGGGTATAAGGGTGCGCACAAGAAGTCTATAACCTATATGGGGACTACTATTTGGGCATATGGTCCCTCCCCTAGGGGAAAGCTATGATGGGGAGCAGCAGTCAAAGCCATGATGGGCACACACCAACCAATTCGCAATACAACGTCGCAGTTATCTGAACAAGAGAACGATGAAACTGCCGATATGCAAAACACAATAGACCCTAAACCCTAAACCCTTAAGCCTGTGTCAGACGAATAATGCTAGTGGCCTGGCGGATACCCCGACTCATCCCTGGGCCATGCGATTATCCTGAGCGCAGGTCAGCTTCGAAGTTGACAATAGGCAGGTTTAAGGTTTTAGTAGGGTTCATGAGCAGTCGTGGACCTTGCACGGATCATGAGCAGTAAACCTCACTTAAAGATCCCAGAAGCACAATTGCATTCTAAACCTCTACGACCCAGAACCAAGTACCTGAAACGGATCCATGTTCATGGCACACGCTAAGAACGGTTCGCCGAATGAATGCCCAAAAGCAACGTAACAGTCCCTCCAACCAAGGGCCAAGCGAGCAAAGAACTGCTAAAACACCACAGTCAACTTCAAGTCGTACAGCTTGAGTGGATGGAAACGATACGAACAGCCAGAGCGACGAAACCCGCGAGTTTTAGAGAGTTTGAGGGTCTTGGGATGAAATCTCCCAAGACGCAACCCGATACCTCAACCCTAAACCCTTGAGCTGTGGGTCAAATCGTCCGGCTGCTTGCCGATGACGATTCCATGGCGTCGCCGGGGCTCCAGCATGTCCTCCCAATGCTCCCAAGACCTTCAGGGTAGTGCCCAGACCTTCCAAAAATCCCTCAATTAAGGAATATACCTTAATTCATATTTAGGATCCCAAATATGAATTAAGGTATATTCCTTAATTAAGGGATTTTGGAAGGTCAGGGTAGTGTCTCGGACTTAGGGAGGTCTAGGATGCCCAGTAACCTAGGAAGAAAAAGGGCTCCCTTTTTGGTATTGGGTAACTTTATGGGGAACCTAGGACTACAAAAAGGGAATAAGGGTACTACTGGGCATCCTAGATGTAGGCTTCAGCGTTTCGGGAATTTGGGGGCTTAGGTTGATGTAGCAGCTAAGGGCGTAGAGTCGAAAGTATCGGCTGCTGACCTTGCCGGCGCTGTCGAACTTATATAGGGCTCATGATGCATGTATACACTGTACATTTACACATAGGCATATGCATACACGTACGCGTAGATGTACAGCTATCAATATACATATGCATATTAAATATACATATACATGTACTTAAACTAAATACACATATACATATACTATACACTCACACACATATATATATATATATATATATATATATATGTATATACATATACATATGCATACGGTTATAATATAGAGCTATAACCTGTAGTACATACACACACACACACATATATATATATATATATATATATATATATATACATAAATAAAAATGATAGAACGGGCTAGGGGTTGAGTTGCCACAAGCTTCCACGGCGAGCCTGGACTCCAGAACAGGGTTGGAAGCAACCGGAACCTTGCCCTCCTCCGTAACCTTCAGGGTGTGGGGTTTGGGGTTTAGGGTTTGGGGTTAAGGTTTTGGGCTTGGGGTTTAGGGTTTAGGGTTTGGGGTTTAGGGCCTCCGTAGCTCCCTCGTCGCTGTCCGCATCGTCATCGTAGGCCGACAGCAGTGACCTCTCTTCTTCAATCACCAGGTCCAAAGGGCTCAAACTCTCCCTCTGAAAGACAGACCAACTATGTAAAGTCAACAAGTTCAAATCTTTCCCAATTGCTATCTCAGCGACCCAACCGTCTTGCTTTTGGCCTCTTGAGGCTTCGCCTCTGCCTCCTTGCGATCTGCTTTCGCCACAGTAGACGCTGCTTGGACGACCCCTGCAGGGACGCGAGGCTCGCCAGGAACGGCTTTCGCAGGCGATTCAGCGACCACCGCGGAAGCGCCCAGAGATGAAACTGCGGAAGAAGGCATGCTTTGGGCGACGATCGGTGCCGCACCTTCAAGGATTCATGCTGACCCACAACAAAAACAGTTCAGATGCCCTTGGGCTGATATTCGAAGTTCTGAGTAAGACAGTAAAATGCCTGCTATGGAACACCGAGGCACCTTGCTGGGGGATTTGGAACAGTTGAGGCACGCTTGCAGTCAATACGCCGCCTGGCACCATGAGCCTTCGCTGCTCTTCGCGAGAACTCAGTAGCCTTACCCTAACACCCTAAGGGTCCAAAGTACTTATATATATATATATATATATGTATATATATATATAATAGAATGTAGGGTTTCTATATTAGGAATTACTATTATGATTTGGGGAAGTATCCCCCATAACGGTACCTAGGACCCTTTGGGACAGTCCATGCACCCTGCTTGAAAAGTTTTTTCAAGTTTCCATCAGGCCGTGAAGTTTCCAGGTGTTGAAGGGCCTTTTGGGGTTAATAGGGATATCCTACCCGGAACCCTGGTGAAAAAAAATGGGCAAACCATCACGGCTATCCTGGCTCCCGTAGTCTTGCCTGCCGGCCCTGATATGAGAACCTCCACCCCGACCCGGTATAGGGCCTGCTATCACGCCAAACGGTCCGAGGATCGAGTATCCCATATATATATATATATATATATATATACATATGTATAGATATATCCATATGAGAAACATACATCTATATACATATGTGTATATATATATGTGGTTATATAGTTACATATATATATACACATATATATATATATATATATATATATATATATATTTATTTGTATTTATAACTGCATATGTTTATATATATATATATATATATACATACTTACACAAGGAGCCCTCTCTGAAAGCACAAGTCTTGGAATCTGTAAGAAGCTGCCCAGGAGCACGTGCCCAGCAGCGAATGCGAGGTTGCCAGGATTTAAACCCATGGACACCTTCAGGGTTTAGGGTTGGGGGGTCTAAACCGTAAACCCTCAACCTCCATGGACACCTTGCCAGTGGCAGGGCTGGGGGTTTTCCCTAAGCCCCTGTATAAACCCTAAACCTTATGGTTTGGCGTGTATAGGGGTTGTCCCTAAAACCCTACACCCCTACATAATTACACCATAGGGTTTGGCTCTGAAGGCTCAGGGAACTGTGGTTGCTTCTGTCTTCTGGCATTCTGAATAGTAATTAAGGCTGAGGGTTCGCCGGTGCGTCTCCGAGGGGCGAAGGGCTTATTATCTTCAACCTACACAGGTGTCAGCGTCTCGCGCTTGGGGCTTATTCTCTGGGGTTTGTATATGGGAGTATCCGAAAAGAGGGGACCCTAAAATAGCACCCTAAATAAAAGGCTCGTCATGAAAAGGACACCAAACTGAAGATACCCCAAATTTTCGGAAACTCCCATATGGCTTTCGCGGTGTCGGGGGATTCGAGGGGCCTAGGGCCCATGTAAGGCTTTGCAGCGACCTAGGATTTACACTTATGATAGACCCTAAACCCCAAACCTCCAAACCCTAAACCCTCTACATCCTAGACCCTAAATCCCTAGACCCTGAACCCCTAAACCCTAGACCCCAAGCCATAAACCGGCCTGCGGTATCTGGAAGCCCGGGAGACTTCCAGAAGCTTCTGGAAGAGCTCCCCGGAGCCCAGAGCTACCTCGGCTACTTGGCTACTTGGAGCTTTTATGGGAGTTTCCGAAAAATACGGGGTACCTTAGGCTTCCTTAAAGGGTTGCGAAAAAAGGGTACCTATAAGGGTTCCTTTAAAGGGCTCCATAAGATTGTAGAGTTTCCGAAAATTAGGGCTACTTTCGCTGGGGGTCCTCTGTAGGGTCCCCTATTTTTAGGACCCCCCCCCCCCCCCACATGGCTACATCGTTATAAGTGCGGTTATGAGGCCTCTGATATGGTTTCTAATCATAGTCACCCTACTCTTAGAACTGCCCATGAACCTCCCAGTACCTCAAAGGGGGCTGAGCTTTGAGGGTTGTTCAAGGCTTCGTTTCGCAAGGCTTCAAGCGGGGTTATATAGAAACTTCAGTCAAGGTCTTCGAAGCCTTAGGAGGTGTTGTTCATCGAAACATGATCCAAGAGTGGGGTTCCCATCGTGGCACGGGACAGGTAGTTCTACATCATTTTGAAGTGGCACCCATAATGATGGAGACGTGCCGATGCAGCGAGAGCGATTATGCAGAACGGTGTGGCTTCTACGAAACTAACTCTAACCACAGGGAAGAACAAGCCGATACCCTGAATCTTAAAGCCTATAAACCCTGAACCCTCAAGCACGAACTACAAAAGACTATAAAGCCTAAAACGCTAAAGCCCTAAACCAACCCTGAACTTCATCCAAACCCAAGGCATGAATAACTTAAAAATTCCTTAACTCTAACTCTAACCCTACTGTCCTTAATTCAAAACCCTAAACCCAGTACCTACTGGATGTGTACATGGAGCCTTTGTGCTAAACCGCCCGAATGGTATGCCCGAGGCAGCCTGGGCAAGCAGCAACGCCGACATTCAGCTGCTGGCCTTGCGCTTGAAAAGAAGGCTATCTACCTATAGTGGTTTAAGGGTTTAGGGTTTAGGACTTAAGGTTTAGGATTTATATAGGGGTCAGAGTTTAGGATTTATGGGTTTAGAGGTTCCTTTTTTTGCTAACCAATTTTATGGTCAGGATCCTGAAATATAGATTTGCTTAAGCAACAATAAAAGGAACTACAATGGAGACTGTAGGTGGGGTCTTGAGGTTTAGGGGTCCAGGTAAGCTCAACACCCGAAACCACTCAACACCGAAATCCAACAATCCAACCCTAAACCCTAAGCCCTACAGCGTGCCTTGTTGGAAGTGTAGAGCCGGCTGGAAAGTCTGCTGGCCTGTCTGCGGTACCTGTCAGAGTCGGGTTAGGGAATGACATGTTGGGGGTTTGGCGTCTAGGTGTAAGGTCCAGGATTCTAGGGTTGGGATTGAGGCTGGAGGGTTTAGACTAGCTTAGGACCCAAGGGTAAAAAGAGGGACCCTTAACAAGGACCCCTAGGTATACACCCTTAATATAGCTATGATATACCCATCATATAGCCCATTATGGGGTAGGGGTCCCCATTAAGGGTCCCTCCTTCTTCCTTTTGATAGGAGTTTAGCGGATCCGCTCCGAGTTTTCATTCGGTGGGGTTTGAGCTGTCCGGGGGGTGATCCTGGGAATTCGGTGACGGTTTAGGGTTTAGGGTTTAGGGTTGAGGGTTTATGGGTGGCTGACCATGCTTCTAGCAGCAGGATTTCCCGAGCGCAGATGAGACGTTGCTATCATTCAAGATAGAAAACCGCTTACACTAGGTTGGACTATTAAAGCCTCTGAACATCCTTCGCAAGTCCAAGCCACTTAAACCAAGCAGAAGCGAACGTTACAACCACAGCACATCGCAGTGGCCTACAGGGTAGAACAATTGGGTTCCTTCAAGGGTTGCTTGATGCAACTATGCCAAGCTAACAATCTGATAATCCCCTCGCAAGGATATAAACAAACCCTACTCCCCAAGCTGGTAACCCTTCCGTTTATCTATCTATCTATCTATACCCATCTGTCTTTCTACCTGTCCATATCTAACTTTTTCATACATACACACACACACCAAATGTGCACATATGCATATATATACACACATATATATATATATACATAGAGAAAGAGAGAGAGAGAGAGAGAGAGAGAGAGAGAGAGAGAGAGAGAGAGATGGACAAACATACATCTGCAAATCTGAAAAGGGAGCCGGAGAGCCCTAAACCCCAAAACCCTAAAATAATAAACCCTAAAACCCTGAAATTCTAAAACCCTAAATCCTAAACCCGCAACCCTAAAGAGGGAGCCGGAGAGCCTGTGGGCAGGCCCAGTGGCCGCCTCCGGGCCAGGAGCCGCCAGCGGCCATGGGAGCCACATGGGGCAAAGGATGTGTTAGATTCCCAGACCTTCCAAAATCCCTTAATTAAGGAATATACCTTAATTCATATTTGGGATCCTATTTTTATTTAAGGTACATTCCTTAATTAAGGGATTTTGGAAGGTCTGGGTTTCGGCTTAGCCTGGACCCCCCAACTAACCTCTAACAATCCCTAAATACCCACTATTAAGGACCATAAGGGCTTTATTAAATGGTACTTGGGGGTCCTGGAGGGCTTATAGGGTTATTTCGGGCTAAGAGCTTTAGGAAGCGTAGGGTTTTGGGTTTTGGGTTGAAGATAGAAGCCTTTGGCTTTTCATAGGTTTGATTGTAGGGGGTTTTGTTTATACCGTGCTTTGGGTGTGTATCTCTAACAGGGAATGATAAAGCGGCCTTCAGATTTGCCTGCGAGTTCTTGGTTGATGGCATTCCAAAGGTGTTAAAGAAGCCATCATGTTTGGAACTTTGGAATAACGTTTTGGAGCATGTCCTAAGAGAGTTGAGTCGTTGAGCTTATAAGCTGTCAAAACAGTTTTGGGATTTTAGCGCTTCAAGGTCTCGTGCGGAAGAGGCAGTGTAGGGTTCAGAGCCTCGGGTCTAGGGCTTCAAGGTCTGAGCATCTAGCTCTGATGAACTAAGGGGTTTAAACTCTATGATGCCGCTTCGGCATAAGCTTACGCAGCCTGTGGCTGAGAGCCAGACAGCTTCAGGTCGTCTTTATGACCATAGCCCTAACCCTGATCTAAGTTACTGAACCTAACTTTCTAGGGTTCCTTGTTATGATTTCCGTATCTAAGTTATTGAACCTACCTTTTTAGGGGTTCCTTACTATGACTTCCACAAATAAGCCCTGAAACAGCCCTAAACCCTAAACCCTAAACCCTAAACCGAAACATGTAGGTTCTTCCGGGTTAAGGATAGCCCTAAGGACCTCTGAGGCCCAAGGGTCCGAACTCCCCTGGCTTCGGCCATGAAACGGCTCCTAAAGTGTTTATAGGGTCTAGGGTTTATTTAGGCTTTAGGGATTTAGGGTTTAGGGTGTATTTAGGGTTTAGGGTTTATTTAGGGTTTAGGGTTTTGGGTACTTTAGGGTCAAGGTATATAATACATGATCTATATTATATAAGCCTGTTGCTACTCCACAAGACCCTAGAAGCTCTACGCCACCACTATAGGAATCCTTTAAAGCCTAAAAAACCAGACCCGTCAAACTTCCTACAACACCCGTACCGGAACCCTGTAGTAAAAGCGGATGAACCCTTTTGCGGCCCTGAACCTTTTCAACCCTATAAGCCCTATAATCCCTATAAGCCCTATAAACCCTATAAACCCTACAAGCCCTGTAAACCCTATAAGCCCTATAATATAAGCCCTAACCCTAACCCTAAACCCTAAACCCTAGGAACCCTACCCCTGAACCCTATAAGCCCTGTAAGCCTTATAAGCCCTATAAGCCCCAGAAGCCCTAAACCCTAATGAATCCTTCTTGGTGGAACTCAGGGGTTTTCGTGGATAGAGGTTCGTCTCTTTCGGGCTTCGGTCGAGGGTCGAGGCTTCAAAGGTTTAGGGCTTTAGGGCTTTAGGGTTTTGGGAGTTTAGGGCTTTAAGGTTTTTTTGGGGTTGTAGGGTTTTGGGAGTCTAGGAGTTGGGGGATTTTAGGGCAGGGCTTTTGGGCTTTAGGGCTATTAGGGGCTTTAAGGGAGTTTAGGGTTTAGGGCATCGCCTGGTATGTTCTCGGAGCCTCTGCTGGTGACCCAGAAACAGACTTGATAGCGTCATCGGGAGCTGGGTGACGTTGGGTCGTCGTCTTTGCATAGATGCAGGAGCCTCGCCGAGTACAGGGACCTGAATCATAATTGTGCGGAGAACTAGCATTAAAGCCCCTATGTTGGGAAGTCCTCATAGCACAAGCCAGCCAGCTAGAAAAGCCTCACTACACGTTGGCTGCGTGCTGTTATGTCACCAACTTAAACTCAAAAGAAAGATGCAGCCGCCCAAAGCCTCGCAAAACCATCATCACCCTTAGTTCGTTTAACAGGCTGTGGTTTAGGGTGCAGGGTATCAGGTTAAGGGTTGGGGCAGCTGCAACATTGTTTTAGCAACTTGGCATCGGCTGTTAGTAAATCAATCCAACTGATCTCGGTGCGGGCGCTTACCCGCCCATACTGAGCTGCCTCTCTCGGCATAAATCCACAGGGCTCCAGTTGCGGTTTAGGGTTTTGGATTTAAAAGGGTCTAAAACATTTCTGAAATTTCTGGGACCTAAAAAGGGCCCTAATTTGGAGACCTACTGCCTAACTAGTGTCCTACAAGTACTACTTAAGGAACTGGAGCCCTAGGGAACTATGGGGGTCCCAACTAAAGCACAGGAAACTGAAGGATACCCTGCAAGTAGCTGGTCACAGGGGCTTTTTGAGTGGCTGTTTCGTATCATCTTCAACAAAAACTCACTTGCTGAGTTCATAAGCCCCCAAAAGTGTACACTTTTCGTTTTGTAGTGGGTAGTATTATCCTGCCAAAAGTGTAAAGTGCATCCACTCAGCTACTAAGAAAAGGACCCCGAATGCAGGGATCCTTTTCGTTCTGTTGTGCTGTTTGGGAGCCCCCAAGGGTACCTGCAAGCAGATTGTTGCCACCCGCCGTTTGACGTGAGTACACAATCGCATGCGTAACGCTCGGTGCAGATCACCCATCTCCATGAAGGAACTCCTGACCGGTGGAAGCATCCTAGGGTTTGGGGTTTAGGGTTAGGGTTAGGGCTTATATTATAGGGCTTATAGGGTTTATAGGGCTTGTAGGGTTTATAGGGTTTATAGGGCTTATAGGGATTATAGGGTTGATAGGGGCCTACCGACAATCTTCAGGGTATCTTCGTACTTACGGGATCCCTTATACAACTTCCTGGTTCGACTACGATACAAACTACCTTTTAAACCCCGGAACCCCAAACCCTGAAGACTCTGTCAAGCGGAGCCCCACCCAGACCTTCCAAAATCCCTTAATTGAGGAATATACCTTAAATTATAATAGGATCCCAAATATGAATTAAGGTATATTCCTTAAGTAAAGGATTTTGGAAGGTCTGGGACCCTCTGTCAAGCGGAGCCCCACTTACCGTTCGGGATCCGCGGCTTTCAGCTGCAGGCTGTCAAACAGAAAACTCAAGTGAGTTTAGGGCTTACCTAAACCCCCAAAGTAGGTAAAGTAATGGCCCCATACCTACCCTAAGGCTCAAAATGGCCCAGTATGGTCTTTAGGCCCAAAAGCTTTAAAATATGAGTCCTTAGAGCCTTAGGGCTATAAAAAGGCTTAGGTAGGGCTCAGGGGTTTAGGGCTTTAGGGTTTCAGGGGTTTGGGGACTTAGCCTTCTTTAGCGGCTAAAGAGGACCCCTGTTCTGTAGAAGGGGGGTTTCAAGCTTAAGGCTTCGGGAGCAAGCTTATAGGGTTGAAGCGTTCGTTAAGGTTGGGGCTTTAGAGTGCTACCTATAGTCTCCATTGTAGTTCCGTTTTTTGGTTAACCAAAAACTCCGTTATAGGATCCTAACCATAAAACTTCATAACCAAAAGAAGGAACTACAATGGAGACTATAGGTAGTTCGTGATTCCAAGTTGGTTTAGCGGAGAGTACCTCAAGCTCCCCTCGAGATGTTGGGCATGATGTTGAGGAACGAGCATCAGATGACTAGAGTAGAAACAGCCGGACTTGACAATGATCATCAGCGAGAACCCTGCTTCGAATGAGACCCAAAAAGTACACGCCCCCCATGGCTCCTAAACCCTTTAAAACCGCACTCCTCTAGACAAAGTCTAACGGTCAACTCCATTGAAATTGCTGCAGGTGCCTCTCGAGCTGTCAATAGCATGAGCACAGCTCGGGCGTCCTAGTGGACGCCCACGAAGTGATACTGATAGGAGTCGTACCTGGAGTAAGAGCTTCCTGAACCCGGACAAAGCCGAAATCGCGAACACTAAAGTCCTTCACGGAGCCTGAAACCCTAAACCTGAACCCCGAAACCTGAAGACGCAAATGCCCAGACTGGGTCGTCCGAAACCCCCGAACCGGGCCGAATGCCCGGACGAGAGTACAGGATTGTTATGGTTTAGGGTCTAGGGTTTAGCGTTTAGCGTTTAGGGTTTAGGGTTTGGGGTTTAGGGTTTAGCTTGGGGTCCCAAGTAGGATGTCCGAGCTTGAGGGCTTCGTCACACGTCTGCCTAAAGGCTTCGGACGGATAGAAGCAGCAATAATATTAAGGCTATCACTGGTGGCAAGCTAGGTACGAATACTGCCATGCGTTAGTGTGATTAATCATAAGATGACGACGGCTTATAATCTGGTTGCAGCTGGAGTCTTTTGGTGTATGTGACGCAGGATTGTGCACTAAAAATGAGGTGCACCAAAATGATGCAGCCCGACTAGCAGACTTATATGCACATGTCTACTGTCCCCCATCCCCCAGCGCCACTGCCAAATTCCAAACCTTCAGAAAGAGATTGATGCCTGGATCTTGAGTTTCTTGCACTTTGACCCCTCTGTTGTGTGCAAGCACGGTCGGGGCACAAACGGGACCGCCAGTGATCGATGGAGTCATCAATCATCCTGGGTGTCCAACGTGTCTAGCACTGCGTTCGTGCTTCGCGTGTTCTACCTACCTACCTATCGATCTATCTGCGGAGCTCTGTCTATCGATGTATAACTCTACCTATCGAGCTAACCTATGTATAGACTTGCAAGCAGTTTCGTCTCCCTTCCTACCGATCTATGCACCTCTCTACCAGACCTACATACCCAGAAGTGAACTCACATACAAGTGCCCGTCTATCCTGTATGTATGTATGTATTTATGTACGTATGTATGTAAGTATGCGTGTATGTACGCATTTATGTAAATATGTATGTATGCAGGTATGCATGTATGTATGCACGTATGTACGTATGTGCGTATGTACGTACGTATGTATGCGCCTGTAAGGAAGGATGTATGAATGTATGAATGTATGTATGTAGTATGTTTGTCTGTACTTGTATGCGTGTATGTATGTAAGCATGTAAGCATGTATGTACGCATGTACATATGTATGTCTGCATGTATGCATCTATGCCCGTATGCAGTCATGCATGTCGGTAGGTGGCTGTAGGTAGTAGGTACATAAGTAGGCCGGTAGGTACAGGTGTGAGGGTTTACAGTACCAGGGTAAACACGGTACCTGCTCGAAACATGTCCTGAAGGCAAACCCAAATCACACAGAGTCTTGGGCTTTGACATGGTATAGGGATGATAATTCAAAGAGGGGTTACGTAAAGGCTGCCTACTCTACAACGAAGCTTTGCCCAAAGCCCGCGCAGATTGAGATTGGGACCTGTCTACGTCTCGCCGGAACTCCTGCAGGTCAAGGATGCAAATTCGGCTTACAGGGTGTAGGGGTTAAGGATGTAGGGGTATAGGGCATGTCGGCTCTGTTTTAGCGAGGCCTACCCCCAAGCACTGTTCCTGCTTACGAAAAGATTTGCATGTGAGGACTGCTGAAACCACCCCCCGCATTTGGGTGTGAGGGCCTCTTGCCTGTCTACGAGGCTCACACTGAAGGTTTCGATTTTGCGGAGTCGCGGAATATGCGAGATTCAGAAAAGCAAGAATCAATGTGCCACAATCCTTGTAATGGAACCTCCTGCGGGTGTTTGGGCTCTGTACTGCTTGGGTCTCCTGATCTGCTGAAGAAGCCTCTATGTGCCAAAGCCAAATCCGAAATCCCAAACACACAACTCTACATCCTGAACTCTAATTCCTAAATGCTGAACCCCATTATATAGACTTTAAAAATTGAACCCCAGACCCTAAAAAACAAGACCCAAAACCGAAAACCATCAACCCTTAATCCATGAAGCCCAAACCCCGATACCCCAAAACCCCGTAAGCCCCAAATGAGCTCAACCCAGACACCCCAAACTCGAAACCCCAAAACCGAAACTCTAAATCCTGAACTACACTCATCTGAAGCCCCATAGACCCCCAAACCCCAAACCCAAGACATTCTTAAGTCACCCCTGCGAGAGTCTGCTCTTTGGGCTTCTGTTGCAGCGGGAGTTTTAGGGCTAAAGTCCTTAGTCTCAAACCCCTACACCCTCAACCCCTAAACCCCGAACCAGCAACACTCTCTCGAACATATCAAACCTGTATATCCTGCGGAATACAGTGCGGATTCGAATATTCAAGCCCAAAAACAAGCACTAAGCAAAGGGGCTTCTTAATCATGGGTCTATATGGGTAGTTGTCAAAATTGTGGCGCCTTTTTGGGCAACCCTAAATATTAGGTGCCGTATTATAGTAAGGACCCCAAAAAGAGACCCGAATTTTGACAGCCCCCCCCCCCCATATCACCGTCGCCCAGCTCCTCATCCGACACTTTTCTGTTGCCACCATTTCTGACGCCGCCAGGCCTAGGGGTTCAGGGTTCTTTTTTCTGTTTTAAAGGGTTTAGGGTTTAGGGGTTTAGGGTTTAGGGTTTTAGGGTTTAGGGTTCTGGGGTTTAGGGGTTCAGGGTTTAGGGGTTTAGGTTTTAGGGGTGTAGGGTTTAGGGGTTTAGGGTTTACGGGTTTAGGGTTCAGGGTAGCAATATGTGCTCTTGAAGGAGACAGCTCTTGAGCGAGCAGTTGTGCAGGCATTAGATTCAGAATAGGGTTTTGGGGTCGATTATACTCTAGTTACAATAAGGACCACACCCCCCCCCAAAAAAAAAAAAAAACACTAGGCAATTATTCAGGCCCCTATATTAGATAGAGTCGTCGGGGCTCATTGCCATGAAGCTTTTCTGATTTGGATTTGGACCTGTTCGATTCTTTCTTGCTCATCGCACTTTGCCTCGGAATTGTATGCCGGTGTTCGGGGCAGGGTACATTCTACTGGACGTGCATAGAGGCGCTGCCCAACGACAGAAGCTGTAGACTCGAAACGTCCCATGAGCTTCGTGTTCGGTCCGGGTTGTCGTTTTTGCTGTAAAATAGGGGCCATAAATAAGTAGAATACGGCTCGTCATATTATAACCATAATAAGGAACCCCCAAAATACTATTGATAATTACCTAGGCCCCTATAGTACTCTATACGAGGTCTCGAGGATCTACTGAGTTGCTGGATTTAGGGGTGGGGTTTAGGGTTTCGGGTGTCGGGTTTAGGGTCACGAGGCTCTGCCGGATTTAGGGGTAATGCCATCATGCAGGCACCAAGACAAGCATGCAGGTGCCTGGAAGAAAGAAGTGAGGCCCAAGCAATCCGAGCCGGTCGCAAATGTCTTCCAACACGGCCTTTTGGGTCTACTCGGAGGTTCATGGGTACTTATAAGTGGGGTTATAAGTCCCTTAATCTGGGTTATAAGTATAGTTATGCCACTTATAACCCTACTTATAGCTATCCATGAACCTGCAAGTAGGGTTATGGAGTCTGCTATACTGAACTTAGAACACTAGCAAAAAGTGTAATTTTAGCTGTTTCGTAAGGATTATAATAACCAAAAATTAACAAATCATTTCTAAGTACCCCTAAGTCTGGGGTCTAGCTGAGTCTAGCTGACTTGAAGGCTCTGATCCCATGCGGCTTCCATCGGAGGGGGAAACCAGTTATCCGAAGTGCAGGAACTTCTTATTGTGGGAACCGTGTACAAATTTACGAGTGTTGGATATATAGGGTTTAGGGTTTGGAGTTTATTTTGGAGTCTAGGCTTATGTAGGCAGTAGTTGCATGTTTCGCCCCGGCTCCATCGACCGTCGACGTCTTGGGGATGCGGCGCAGGATTTGGATGCAGACTTTAGGTTTCACATCTGTAGCGCTCTGGGCGTTGGTGTTTGAGATAGGCTTCAGCCCTAAACCCTAAACCTAAAACCGTGGCTCTGCACTTCTCACTTTAAGGCTACCATGCGCGCGTTAGGTGCCCAAGGCAGGTTGGCAAGAGGGAGGCGCTGTACATAGTATCGGAACCGTGATGAGGGTCATGATATGCCTCGTTGTCTATGGGTATACCACCATGTATGGCCTCAATATCTAGAATAGGGTTTTGGGGCCCATTATACTATAATATTAGGAACCACCAAAATAGTACAGGTAATGTCTTTTAGGCACCTGTAATATATAAGCATACTTCGAACGCCTACAGTCGGAGCCCCGGAGCTAAACTTCGCACAGGCCAAACCTAAATCCTAACTTTTATATCGGTTTAAGCCACGGTTTAGGGTTTAGGGTTTAGGGTTTAAGGGTTTAAGGGTTTAGGGTTTAGGGTTTAGGGTCGCAGGCGCCGTGCGAGAATTGTATCATGACAACCTCCGACACCCCAAACCCTCCGTAAACCACTGAACCCCTAGCCCTAAACCCTAAAGCCCTTAACCCCAAAACTCCTAAGCCCTAGCCGACACCCCAAACCTTCCGTAAACCCCGGAACCCCCAGCCCTAAACCCTAAACCCCCAAACCCCTAAACCCCGAGGCCCAAAGGATCCCAATTTGCAAATCTAGAGCCGATTTCCACAGAATCCGAACATCAACGCCCAACTCCCCGGTTTGGGGGTTTATGCGTTTGGGGGTTTAAGTCGTCAATGTAGGAACCTGATTTCTGAAACCTTGGGCCTTTGTTAGGGTTCTTAATATATGGATCGTACTATTTTGGGGGTTATAGGGCCAGGGCTTCTTAATCAGGTTCCTACATTAGGGTTCGGGGTCCCCCTGCCCATCCCGAAAGCCACTGTGAAACTCGAGCACTCTGCCTAAACACTAAACCCTGCAAGCCCTACATAAACCACGAACCATCCTAAACCCTAAACCTAAGCCCTGAACCCTGAACCTAAACCCTGAACCCTAAACCCTGAACCAAACCCTGAACCCTAAACCCAAAACCCGGAACCCCAAAACCCTGAACCCTAAACCCAAAACCCGGAACCCCAAAACCCTGAACCCTAAACCCAAAACCCTGAACCCTAAACCCTGAACCCTGAACCCTAAACCCTGAACCCTAAACCCAAAACCCGGAACCCCAAAACCCTGAACCCTAAACCCTGAACCCCCAAACCAGAAGTCTCCACCGCCGTGCCTCTGGATAGCCACGCGGATGGCAAAAGCAGTTCATCTGACTATTCTCGGAGCCGAGCCTAGCAGACGAGCTTTCTCCAGACGGCGCCAGCTTCCTATCTAGTGTACCTACAAGGCCATAACCCCAGCAATTTTCTGGTGGACCTGGCTTTATAGATAGGAGCTTTCTTCCTAAGCCAAGCTGCAAAGGAACCTTCTCAACGCAAGACTCGCCTCCTCTTTATAGATAAGAACTGTCACCTACAAAAGTAGGTACCCGAACAACGGGTGGGCAGGGTATGGCCCTGTAGTGTTCGTCGTAGCCCCGGACCTGAAGGGTCAGTTCTTAGGATCCTGTTCATGGCCGAAGCCAGGGGAGTTCGAAACCTCGGGCCTTGTAGGTCCTTAGGGCTATCCTTAACTGGAATAACCTAGATGTTTAAGAACCTGAAGGAACCTGAAGGGTCAGTTCTTGGGATGAAGGTCTTCCGGTGCCTTAGCCCCGAACGGTTGATGATATAAATCCTGCATTACCCATAATAAGGAATATACCATAATTCCTATAGTTTAGGGTCCTTAAGGTAGTGCAGGATGTATATCATCAACAGAAGAACCTACAAATTTAAGGACTTACATAAAGAAATCATACGAAGGAACCCTAAAAAGGTAGGCTATGCAGGGTTAAGGTGGGGGTTGGCTTGCAAATTTAAAACTCAGGGTGTGGAACATGTAAGACTTAGAGTGTTGAATGGCGGTTGTAACGATGGTGTCATGGCTGCTTTACAGTTCTCCCCCATGTCGCCATGCTCTTTGCACGGTCATGTGCGTGCGCAAACCAATGTCTGTGTGGACCCAATATCTCTTTGGATGGAATCTTACGAGTGTGTGTGTGTGTGTGTGTGTCACTTCCGTGCTTCAGCACGTTTCTGCCGATATTTGTAATTCGCTCTGGTTAGTTATGTGTTTGATGATGGTGGGCCATAACGAAGGTAATGCCCGAGATGGCACTGGAGGCAGTGGGTGTGACGCCGATGGCGACGAAACATGTGAGCCCCTTTTCATTTTCAGAAAACTGACGGAGGCCCTACTACCTTGGATCGAAGTAGTAGGATGCTGATGCCGAGGACCGGCCAACCCCGCAAAAGAAGCCGCCCTGCCCAGCCCAACCCGTCTGCCAAGGTCAGTCTGCAGAGACCCTGCACGAACTTTACAAAAGCCTTCAAAACATTTGTAAACCCTGAACCCTATACTATTATACCTTAGAAGCTGCCCCCACCCTGTAATAGTGACTATAAGGATTATATTAAGGCCCTATTATATTCCTATTATACCACTATTACAGGGTGGGGGCCCCTTCTACCCTATACCCTCAACACCTGCAAAACCCTTCTGAAACCCCTAAAGCCTAAAGGAGACGATGCTGCCGACCATAAAGCTTCGAAGGACCCAGCTCCAACTGCAAAGACTCCCCTTCCCCCATGGGGCTTACTTGGGGGGTCGGGGGACTTAGTAAGTAGTTAGCAAGTAGACTTATAAGTACCCTAAAAGGGACCCTAATCGGGGTTATGGTACTTATAAGTCTCGAAAGTAACCAGTTACTAAGTCCACCGACCCTTCAAGTAGGGAACCCGAAACCCTGACCCCAAACCCGAAATCTCTGGGATCACTGCATACTGAGCTGAAGCAATGCCAGGAGCTCCTTTCATCGTCAAGGGCTTAGGCTCCGGGTTTTCGTAGTGTAGGGATTGTGGTTTCTATATATATATATATATATAGTTCCCTCAGATGGTAGGTCTTTTGGGCTACAGGTAGAGTAGGACAAGTTGATAGCTTTTGAATACCGCACTGGCTCCCACGGTGACGACGGCGGATCTGAACATGGGTACAGTTGCCTCATTCTCTGCTTTGATCCTAGATGTGGCTCGCGGTCAGGTGCCCACTGCGATTGCCGAGTACAGTTTCGGGTTTGGTTGCTGTTAGGACTGAGGCCTTCTCACTCGTACTGTTGATGGTGCAAATCCTGCATCACCTTAAGGGAATCATGGTATACTCCTTATATCTCCTTATTATGGGGAATGCAGGATTTATATCATCACCCGTACTGGTGTCTTGATAGCTCCGGATGCTGCTGGCGTTGCCAATAGTGCTCAAGGACTTCCAGCAGTGTGGTGATATTGAGAATGACGGTGCCATGTAGGAGGTAACCCGGAAGAAAACAACACAGACGTTCATGTCTGGATCGTTCTTTTAAGGAACATGTCAACAAAAAATCATACTTGACCGACCACTACTATCTAAAGCATGACAGAGGTAGCACCCTTCTGACTACCGCGCACTCAATGGGAAATGGCTTGCCTAAGCTTTTAAATTCCCATAAAACTCCAAAGCTCCAACCCAGGCTGAAGTCAAAACGCAGAGCCATACAGTCTTCCAACCTCTTGTCTCCTTCTAAAGAGCCCGGCTACGAAATATTGCATAACCCTGGACCCCCAACCCCTAATTTGCGCTGTATAAACATAAGCGGAAACCTAAGGGTGCAGAGCTCCTGGGCATGTGCTCGCACGGCTTTCATGCCATCTTGGATGGCAGAACGGAAGTCCTGCCGAACCCGAGCCAGGCTTTTGTTCGGGTGACTTTTCAAGATCGGTAGGCCATTTTGTAGGTCAAGCCTTAAGGCTTCGCGTGTTTTGCAAAACTGAAACCTACGCCCTCGACCCTTCCTCTCTCAAGCTTCAGTCTACCTTCATAGAGACGGCACGCTACATACAATATGCTACACCGTATGTATATGTGTATATATATATATGTATATATATATGTATATATATGTATATATATATATATATATATATATATATATATCCTAGTATATTTCTGTATGTATATATATATATATATATATATATATACATACACATATAAAGTACATGCGCTCTCTCTCTCTCTATGTACCCGGCTATCTACCTACCTGTCTATCTGTTTGTCTGCCTGACTATATATATATATATATGGACATATATATATATATATATATGTGTGTGTAATTATACATATACGCAATATACACATGCATGTCATACACACACACACTCTCTCTCTCTCTCTCTCTCTCTGTCACACTCCCTTGTGGTAACTTCCACTATAGGCAGGAAGATCTCCAGGTTTCCACAAGCTTTGCTGCAAGAGATGGCAGCGTATGGCGTGTAGCCACACGAGAGGCACATAACACACCAGGCTGCGATGGCAGATGTGAGCAGTGGCAGATGTGAGCAGTTGCAGCTCTTAAGATCTGCTAGCACACAGACAAGAAACAACAAGGCACCAACTCCAACAAGAGAGCCGATAACATACATAACACCAATTTACATGCATACACATATGCACACATAGTACTTCTATTGCATGAACACATTTGTGCATATTCACTATGTGTACATGCATGACTGCATGTACCTGTGCGTACCTTCTTGCTTTTCGACAAGCCAGAAGCGTTCTCCTTAAACTCGTTGCCGTCCGTGGGCCCGAGCACCTCTACGAGCCTGAACGGTGTGATCAAAAGGGCTTAGGGCTTAGGGGTTTAGGGGTGTAGAGTGTATAGGGTTTAAGGGTTTTGGGGTGTAGGGTGTAGGGTTGCGGTCAGGCGTTGCTAGCAGTTCGATAAGGGATCTTTCAAGGGTTCCATGAGGGTTCTTCAAAGGGTGACTATCACGGCTCTTTAAAGGGTTGTGTAAGGGTTCTAGAAGGGCTTCGTGAAGGGATCCTTTCAGAAGGTTTACTAGGCTTCTAATCAGGTAAAAGTTTCTAGCATCGAAAAAGCTTCCGCTAGGGCGCTACACACGGGATCTATCAGGGTTCCTTATTGCTTCATACGGGTTAAAGGTTTAGGGTCCTGAGAAGGGATCCCTATACTATATTGGTTCTAGCTCAGGTTCTCGGGGTGGGGTGGCTGTTTTAAGGCAATTGGGGCTTTCAAACTCTGGGACACCGGGGTATCAGGATTTAAGAGGCCCAGGGTGTAAACCTAAACCCTTGCAAGACCAGGGGCTATGAGGATTTGCAGGCTCGGGGTTCGGGGCTTTAAGGCTTTAAGACATGTGTGATTCGGGGTTGTGGGGATTGAGATTCTGTTTTTGTTGGTTTTGGGCTTCCTGGTTCTTTGCTGTCTTGCAATCAGGATTGTTGGCTTGAGGTTGAGGGTTTGAGAGATTTGGCAGTTTGGGATTACGGTTTTAGACTTGGAGCGAATGTGCGGATGGCTGGGGCAATTAAAACCTACTTGTCGGGATAGGAATATGCAAGCAAACTCAAGGACTGCTGAAAACTCAAGGACTGCTGAGCTTTGGGGCAGTGAAGCAGGGCCAAACGACAGCTGAAGAATCTGAAGCACCAACAACCCTAAACCTTGCTTGCACCTGCACCGTAGTCTAAAGCCCCAAGATTTTAACCTAACCTAATGCGAACAAGGGACTCATTCGTCAGCTTGAAGCCGGCAGAGTGCTCGAAGCCGCCGATGTGCTGCATCGCCTCGCATACACTAAGGGTGCACGGCTCAGGGGTTTAAGGGTTTGGTGGGGGTCTGTTCATTGACACAGCCTTCGCAGCATTTACACGTCTTCGCGGCTTGACGGCTCGAGCATTCAAACACATGTATATGTGTATATGCATATATATATATACATATATATATATATATGTATGTATCTATGCATATATACGTATATATATATATATATATATATATATATATATATATATATATATATATATATATATATATATATATATATATATATGTGTATATATATATATATATACAGCTTGCATATGTGTGTGTATATATATATATATGTATAGTTAAAGGTATACATCAACTCGAGGCTTGAGCTGCTCCCGTGGGTGATGGGTTTAGGATTAAGCACCAAGCGCCTTCCCACCGGGAGCGCCGCAGAGCATGAAACCGAAGTCTACATGTAGCACCTCGGCAGGAAAGCATCGCGCATGAGTGCACAATGTCAGCAGCTGTATGACATACTCTATCATCGGTTAGTCCATGCAACGATAATGGAAATATGCACTCCACGAAAACAACACCCTCATACTCATGATTGTCACTCTGTATTATGCAATGTATGCAATGCACATCTGTCGATCCGTACTTCTGCATATGTACATGTACTAATGGAAATGAGGTTCTGATTAAGGGTTCCTCTAAAGAGGAATACTAGAAGGGTTCTTAGTCAAAAGAACGAGGTGCTGGAGTGTATCATACATTCATTGCAAGGGGACTATCGGGGGGAAACTGTTCGAAAAAAATCCGACCTCCATATTAGTCGGGTGCCATACCATGGTGGGCTTCTCGGGTTTTGTAGTCTCGATTTAAGCTAGAGACACGGCTTTGGGTTTCAGGTTCCGGGCTTGGGTTTGTTGGGTGGCAGTGCACAACGCCTTCGCATGCACAGACCAGCTTTCCCTCCGGCGTCCTTGGTCCCCACGCATAGCAAAAGTAACTTCTACTCCATGCAAGGTTAAGGACTGATCATGTCGCTGACTGTCCGGCTGAGGTAGCTGGGTATCGGACATGGCCCTCATCATTGAGCATAATGTTGCCTCCAGCTGCAGGCATGAAGCTCCCGAAGCTTCCCTGTTTTGCACACAAACCGGGCTGCTGAAGGTTCAATACGAAGACCTTGCACAATGCTTCGTATTGGAAAGTTTTGCAAGAGTTGCAAGCAACACCAGCCAAGCAATGACCTCTGAAAACAACCCGAAACCAGAAATCACTGAGTCCCTAAAAGCCACAAACCTTTGATCCCTGAACCCTCAAGCCCAAATCGAAAATTTGGAGGCCAGGAATGAGGAAACTGAGCTTGATGCCATTGTGCCGATCTCGTATAGCAAGGACAAAACAGATCACCGAGTACCTGGAGGAATGGAAAGCCGACGGCTCAACCTTCCTACAAGGCTTAGCGATCCTCTCAGGCTCTAACTACAGGCTCCATCGTAGTTCCATTAATTTCACTATATACCCAATGTTAATATTTGGGATCTCAAAAGGAATGGAGGCTTTAGTATTTGGGATCGCAACATGAATAGAGACTATAGGTACTTATCGGGCTTTCAGGGTTTAGGGTTGAGTGTTTGGGGTTTAGGATTCAATGTATTTAAGGGCGCTAGACCCGAAACCCTGCATACCAGTGGGCTTTGCAAGATAAGACCCTAAGCCCTAAACCCTCAATACTTCTTTAACCCCAAACCCTACCTATAGTCTCCATTGTAGTCCTTTTTTTGGGGTTACCTTTTGGGATTCTTAGGATATAGTTGGTTAAACCAAAAAAAGGAACTACAATGGAGACTACAGGTAAATCCCTAAATCATCCTCAACCCTTTGCAAGAGGCCCCCCCGCTCCCCAAAGCCGGCCAAAGAAGTGCGAAAGACTTAGGGCTAGACGCGGCCATGGAATAGATGAAGTTGCTGGTCGCCGTTCGCAAGGACACAGACCTGAAGAGGGGTTTAGGGATGTTTTTGTTTTTCGCTCATGTGCACCAACTTTACTATGCTTCATAACTGCACACATGGCCGAGCAATGCTTCGGGTGCCCAGTCTTAAAGACTTCTAAGACAAGATGATAAACTCGGAGCCCTGATCCCTAAGGCCTGAGCCTCTCTAAAGCCTCAGCCTCTATATACTGCACGCCCTAAGATGCCTAATGTAGAGTCTTGAATACTGGCTAACAGCATTCCTAAGAGCTCCGTGCGACGATACTTAGACTATAGAGAACAGCATGAGTTCAGGGTTTAGGGCCCTAAGCCCGAACTGCCCTGAAACCCTAAACCCTAAACCGTCTGAACCCTAAACCCCAAACCTTAAACTCTAAACCCTAAACCCTAAACCGTCTGAACCCTAAACCCTAAACTCTAAACCCCAAACCTTAAACTCCAAACCCTAAACCCTAAACCGTCTGAACCCTAAACCCTAAACCCTAAGAGCCCTAAACCTTAAACCCTAAACCCTAAACCGTCTGAACCCTAGAGCCCTGAAAGCCTTAAGATCGAGGCCCCCGGCTTTTCTCTCCCAAATCCATGCGGCCGGTCATCTCCCTTACAAGAGGGCCATAGGGTCGATTCAGAGGTGCAGCCCTACCCTAAACCATAAACCCTGAACGGTTTAGGGTTTGGGGTCCCTCGGAGTTCCTTGGAGGTTCCAGAAGGGTCTTGTATTGATTTTGGGGGCCTTAAGGGTGGCTCGCACGGGATCTGGAAGGGTGTTGTATCGGGTTTGGGTGTTCAGGAATGGTTTTAAACTTACCATCTGAGTCTTTGGAAGTTACCGTTTTCGGCGTCATCTCACTACGGGTCTTGAGGCTTAGTTCTGGAGTTTAAGGTCCCTTACGGTTCTGGGGCTTTGGGGATCGTAGTTCTGCCGGGTGTGCAGGCTGTAGGATTTGTCCAGGGTAGGTTCGCTTCAGTTGGTGCCTCTGCTTTCCCCTTCTGAAAGCATTTCGGAGCTCAGAGAGTATGTGATGCGTGAATGGGGTTTAGAGTCAAACATTTGAGGGTTTAAGGGAGTGTGAGACAGTTGTATAGGGCACTAACCAGCAGGGCTCTTACTGCAAGGATCACTCTAAACCGTCAACCCCCGGATCTGTCTGACCGAACCCACGACAAGCCCTAAACTCTAACTATCCGTAAAGCTTGCCCCTACGAAAAGGCCTGATTCATGAGCGATGCTAGTCCGTGACTGTAACAATGAGTGTACTAAAGTATACCCCCGAACCTTTTAGGTGAAAAGGCCCACCTATTCCATAAAACAGAAGATGTCTGTATACACTCGGAATGGGCACTCAAAAAGGGTCTACAAGGGGATAATCCTGAACCCTGAACGGGTGCGGGGGAGGAGGGGGGTGGGAGGCGGTGGTAAGCAGGGGCTCCCGGTGAGCAAAGCAGAGAGGGTATGTACATACATACGTATAATAAACGAAACATACATAAATGAATAAATAAAGATATACATATATAGATATACATATGTATGCGTATATAGATAGCTAGCTAGCTAGCTAGATATATATATATATATATATATAGAGAGAGATAGATAAACAGAAATTGACCGATAGGGAAATACTGTGTTGCCTGGAAGGATTCGTCCATAGGTACTTCGGGATTAAATTGTATACCTTCAGGGCTTTGAATACCCCAAAGTTTGCCAAAAAAGGACAGATATTTCATAAGTGACAAACCCTAAACACGGAAACTTCAATCCTAAACCCGAAGTAAGCTCTACACGCTAAACCCTGATAGGGCTGATGCTTAGGGTCCAGGGTTTGGGGCTACATGAAATTCGAACAATTTCTTCGCAAAACAACTGTCAGGACCCTGGCGGTGAAGTTGTCCTCAAAGTACCTGATCGGCGGATATAGGCTGTGAGATTGCCCAGACCTTCCAAAATCCCTTAATTAAGGAATATACCTTAAATTATAATAGGACCCCAAATATGAATTAAGGTATATTCCTTTATTAAGGGATTTTGGAATGTCTGGGTTGCAAGGCGGTTCAGGGGCCAGGTGGGACTCAGGGCTTCGAGGATTTCGGTTTCAGTTGCAGGGTCGCAGGTAGGAGGACTTTGGTGGCAAAGCAGTGGGACAAGGAGCAGCAACGGTTTAGGGTTTAGGGTTTTTTTTTTGAACTTGGTACACTTCTCGATTTGAGGGTTTAGGGTTTAGGGGAGGCAGAAGGAGCACTGGCGACAAACGCAAGCAGGAAGAAACAAGATACTTAAACGTGTAGGAAGGGCCTGTCGGAAAGATGCACATCGACTCACCCAATACACCCTCCCACCTAATATAGGGACCTTAATAATTAGAATAGGGTTTTGGGGCCCAGTACAATATTAATATAATAACCAAGCCCCAAAATAGTATAGCTAATTATTGAGGCCCCTTTTTCAACAGACCCACTCCCAAGCCCCAGGCCTTTTGAGTGAGACCCACTTCTGACCGTAGGACTTCTTGAGCTCGCTGATGCTGATGGCATTCGTCACGACCTGTCGCAAGACCAAACAAGCCTGATTGTCGTGACCTTAGGGGTTCCTTTACGGGATCTATAAGGCATCTATAAGGGTAGGGTTTAGGCTTTAGGGATCCTACACCCTTAACCCTAAACAAGCTTCATTGTCGCGATTAGCAGTAACTCAACGAATTAGCAGAAGCACGCCCGGATGGGGACATTTTCGGGGGTCCTTGTCAAGAGGACTCCATCATCTAGAGTTCCATATGAGACACGTACTTAGGCTGGCCTTGACTCTTCGAATAGTCATAAGAACTGACTTCTTTCTTAGCATGGCAACTAAACTCACCATCAAGATCTGCATAACATCAGCATCTAGATCATACTGCTGAGTACATAAGAAGGTCCAGCACAACACCCTAAACCCTTAACGCAAACCTACAACCCTGGAAAAACCTTCAGGAACCTCTTGCACAAGCGTCCAGAGAATGAGATCTACCTACAGTCTCCATTGCAGTTCCTTTTCTTGGGTAACCCAACTTATGGTTAGGATCCTATACTAAAGTTTTTAGGTAACCAAAAAAAGGAACTACAATGGAGACTATAGGTGCAAGCACTTCGCAGGTGCTCACAGACTGGCCCGAAGCGAAATCCGGAAAGAGCCCTGAACCCCCCACCACCCCACCAAAACAAACATGCATATTGAATATCAAATCGTAGAGGATCTGCAATTGGCAAGCTATTCCTGCTTGTGAGGGCTCCTGTACACACAAAGAGGATTGCACCCATATTGAATATTGGAGTACATAGGGAACCTCTCTATATGCTATATAAATATATATGGAACATCAGGTAGCATAAAGAAGTTGCAATACGTGGTCCGTGATTGAGGGGTCCAGTGGGCTTTAGAGGAAAGAGCCAGCAGCAAAGAGCATTGACATGCAGGTAGGCCCCAAACCCATCTAAGGTTTAGAGATACGGTATAAGAGTTTTAAGATACGGTTTAGGAGTTTCGGGTTTTGGATTTGTATGGGGTACTGAGGTTCGGGGTTTTGGACTTCGTGGTTATGAAGCCTGACAACAACCTGAGCCGGCGACACCTGCTTAAACCTTGAACTCCGCCGAATAGTAATCCTATAGCAGCCTGAGTTTTGCTGCGTATTAGAAAATAACTACATACTGTTGATGATGTAAATCCTGCATTACCTTAAGGACCCTAAACTATGGAAATCATGGTATATTCCTTATTATGGGTAATGCAGGATTTATATCATCAACCGTAGGGACTAAAGTGGGATACGATCCCTAACCTAAACCCTAAACCCTAAACACTATAAACCCCTAAACCCTAAATCCCTAAGCCCTAAACCCCTAACCCTAAACCCTAAACTCTAACCGTTGCGGCCCCTGCGCCATGGCTGACCTCAAGAACTCCCCCATCGTGGGTCGTCGCGATAATGAGGAACGGCTGAAGCCAGAGTTTGGGATTGTGCCTGGCTGGGGGTTTAGGGTTTTGGGTTTAGGGTGTAGCGGTTTTGGGTTTAGAGTTTCGGGTCTGTCTCAGCTGGTTTTGGGGTGTGAGGCTTCACGGCAGGGTCCAGGTTTAGGGTTTCGAACTAAGGATATAGGGGTTTGGATGTGCCTGACCGTATTGCGGTGTACGTGTAAGCCGCAAGGTTTAGGGAACTGGGTTTGTGCTTAACGGTGTAATAGGGCGTAGGTGCTGCAAGGGTTCAGGGATCATGTGGGCTGTGTGGATCCTTATAAGGCTCCATGTACCCATATAGCATATACATAGGCCTTAAAGTACCCATATAGGGACCCCTTTAAGGCCTAAGTATCTACTATAAAGGTACATGGAGCCTTTGGAGATGAGGGTCGAGGCGTAAGTTGCGCGGCCAATATAGTGGGCCTTGATAATTAGAATAGTGTTTTGGGGCCATTATACTATACTTATAATAAGGAGGCCCCCAAAATAGTACAGGTAATGATTGCGGCCCCTGTATTATTCATTATTGGCTTGCTGTCTGGCTTGTGTTCGGAAGAGGCGCGGCAGATTGCAGTGACACTGGCAAAGCCAATCCAAGCCGGCAAGACTTTCTAAACACCCTCTCAAACCACTTCAGCAGGCGATAGGCGAGCTCTTCTTGTCTCACATCCTCAGGAAGTTTGCGGTTTAAGGTCATGAGTTTCGGGGTTAGGGTATAGGGGGCGCTTGCGATGCACCTCTCAGCCGAAGACCACTGTAACACTGGGGCTCTGGCATCAGCGTTGCTCTTTACGATCAACGGAATCATGCTCCAGTTCCTGGCAGCGACGCCGTGCCCCTCACATGTTCCTTGCTTATAGACTTCGGTTGTCGCACTTGTTTTGGGTATTTACCTTACTTAGCTTACAGTAGTTTCTCATTCTGTATAAGGCCTCAACTTCAGGGTCTAGGTGGAGCAAGAGACTATGGAAGCTTCCATCTTGTGCTCACATGCAGCTATCCGAGAATCGAATTGCAAGTGTGTCGCAGGCTTGGGTTCTAAGGCTCTAAGGCTTAGGGTTTGTAATATGGCTCAAGCCTCTAGAACCCAGGGGGGTCCCGTGGGCGAGGCGGTACAACATATTTATATTCAATATCTAACTCAAAAATATTGCATGATAGTTTGTTGTATCTTTAAACCCGCATCCCTGTACTCTGTACCCTTGAAGAACTCGAATCTTAAACCCTAACCCCTCATCCCCATATCCTTGACTCCAAACCCAGAACCCTTAGCCCCAAAAAGGCTTGAGTTGAGTGCGCTTCTGAACAGGGTTCAGGGTTTGAGATTTGGGGTTTAGGGCAACAACAGCACTGTGTGCAATTTGAATGCTATATGCCAACACACACAAGAAACGATGGCAACAATAAGAATCAGCTTCTTGACCATCAGCACAATCGCGGAACATCACCACCATCATTAGTGCTCATCATGATGAGGTCATCACCATCATTATCACCAGAGACAGACCTGTGAGCTGCCTCAGCAGACACACACACACACACACACAAACACAACCCCCATGCCTTGAAGCAAACCCGACAAGCACCAGTGTCCCCCATTAAAGCGAAGTCGCCCTAAAATCCTTCAACGGGTCCTGAGTTCGTTCGCCAGCATCAGCTCCAATTTTCTACCACTGCCAAGCTCTGAGGTCCCAATTCCATTTAATTAAGCGCGGATTCGACAAAACCTTAACCAAGACACACTAACCCTCAACCGACTACATGGGACAACTCTTATTTGAGCTGTGGCACGGCCGTCGCCCAAAGTCGCTCTGCGTCCGCACGCGCTGTACAACCTCCAGATGCAGGGGCGACGCTGGGACTCGGAGCAGCCAAAGTCTCCGACCCGGGCTCTGTTAAGGTTTTCGCCGTGATCGTTCCAATGAGTACATGTTTTGCAAGGCTCTTTGTCGGCATGTTCATATGTTGTATATGGCTTGGGTTGATGGGATGCTGGACGATGAGAGCTCCAGCTCAGATATTCCTTTCACAGCTCCAGTGACATGTCCCGCCGAAGAGTAGCACCGTCGGACAGCCATAGAAGCCTGGGGGCTTAAGTTCTGGAGTCTGCATCCGAGACATCGTGCGCACAACTCCATTAAACAACACTCGAAAATACTACACAAATCCGAATATTCCTGTCTGAACCCTGCAAACCCTACTCTTCTAGGGCTCCTTATTCATTATGACTTTTCTGTATAAGTCCCTCAAAAGGTAAGTCGTCTCGGTTCAGGTAAACCCTGCCTTGACCTACCAAACCCTGTTTTTGCTCAGGTTCTCATTACGAACCCTTTTAAGGAGTTTAATGTAGGGGCCCGAATAATTAGAATAGGGTGTTGGGGCATATGATACTATGATTAGAATAAGGAAACCCCCGAAAAAAGTATTGGTATTTATTTAGGCCCCTATAGTATAGGGACCCTACAAAAAAAAGTAGGGTAGGGTACCCAAACCTTCCAAAATCCCTTAATTAAGGAATATACCTTAAATTATAATAGGATCCCAAATATGAATTAAGGTATATTCCTTAATTAAGGGATTTTGGAAGGTCTGGGTAACCCCCGAAGGCCGCTGCCTCGGACCAGGTCTCATCATGGAAAGCGCCTTTGGGGCGAGCTTCCCTGCCAAGGCGAGGAGAGCTTTAAGTTTGAAGGGGCCCCCACCCTGTAATAGTGACTATAAGGATGATATAGGAGTATATTAGGGCCCTATTATATTCCTATTATACCACTATGACAGGGCGGGGGCAGCTTCAAAGCTTTGAGTGTTTAGGGCTTACAGGGCTTAGGGCAAAGGCTTGGGATTAAGGGCTTCGAGTTTGGGGTTTCTGGCTTCGAGGTTTAGGCTTTAGGGTGTGAAAGTTTACTATTCAGTTTGCTTAGGGTTCTTGAGGGAATCCTAGGTCCTATTTATTTTGCGCTGCTGGTTCGGGCAACCGCGGCGAGCATAAACCTTAGAACAGGCTCAAAGTAGTCCGAAAGCAGCTCTGTGCAGCAGGTGCCGTAAGACATCCCAAACGAAGAGAACAGTCTGTACAAAGTGTCCCGGTTGAGGGGTTCTCTGGGGTGCTTGCAGGATTTCGGGCAATCCAATAACGGCCATGTCAGGGTCGTTTCATTAGTATGTACCGTATTTCTACCACAGCCCTTGCACACAAACACGTGCATTGAACCCCAGTGCCGAAATACAAAAAAAAACAACACACAAAACGCACACCAGAAAACGAACCTAAACCCAAAAACACCGAACCCCGCCCAAAGACTAAACCCCAAACCCAAAAACCCCGAACCCCGGCCTAAAGATCTAAGAACAAGCTGGCCTGCTGCTTCTCGAGGTGGACGGGGAGCAATCTTCTGGAGGCCAGCTCTTTGGCGGGACTGGCGCGGCCATTTTGCAAGGATTACCTATAGTCTCCATTGTAGCTCCTTTTTTTGGTTTAACCAATTATGTAATTATACACTAAGGATCCTATAAGGTAACCCCAATAAGGAAACTACAATAGAGACTATGGGTACCTACTTGTCGGGTATCATGGGGAACTAAAGATTAACCTTTTCGGTTATATAGGGATTACATAGGGACTATACTACCCAAAAAAAGTTAAAGGTTACCTATTCGACTACTAGGACTACAAGAAGGAAAAAGGTGGCCTTGATAGGGTTCCTATTAAGGGCTACGTTCAGGCCTGCCCACGAAGCCCCTCAAGCCCTAAACCCCCAAACCTTACACCGAATACCAAACTGCATACACCTTAAACCCTAAATCCTAAACCCTTACATCCTAAACCAAAAAACCTACATCCCAAACCCCTCACTAAAAGCTCGAAATTTCCTAAACCCCATCACTTGCCGAAGGATATGGTCATCGGAAGCCTATGGCTTCTTTACTTGGAGGTTCATGGGTAGTTATAAGTGGTGTTTGGGGCATACGGTAAGTATAATTGCGATTCTCATTAGGGCATTAAGGGACTTATAACTCTACCCTCCAAGTAGAAGCCTGAATACTCAAGGTAGGGGCTTGGAGGCTTCTATACTACAGAGCTATTATGCTTGCTTTTTGGTGCCTCTTCCAAACTGCAAAGGCTGGAGGGGCGTTTGGGGTTGAGGGATAAGGCAAGCCCTTAATATGATATGGCGACTTGTTAGACTAGTGACCAGGGGCTTGGAGGCATTTACACTACTTGTAACAGGGCCCATCGTTTTGTTGGTGAGCGCCTTTTCCAAACTGCAAAGGCTACAAGGTTTAGGGTTTCGGGACAGAAAAAGACGTGGGCGACGATGGTAGCTACACTACGATAGCAATCGCTGTTGGGCGAGAGGGGGTGTTATAACCATGATTAGGGGCTGGTATTTTTAACCGCACCAAGGATTTTTTTAACCACGAAACGAATTGTGCAGCAGCGCATGATAAAGCACAGGGCGTCGAGACAGAAACAAGGCTACATCAGCCGCGGCAGTCGTTTGATTGCTGTGTAACAGCAGCACCGGCAGAAGCAGTAGTATAGCGGTAGTAGTAGTCGTCGCAATGAGGACAAGATAAGACAAGTATTGGAATCGGATACTGCGACACTGTGAAGCTTCGGCAAGAAAACAGCGCGGAGCTGCTTTTTTTGCACGCATGTTCCCCGTCTGGCGCTTCTGTCGGAGATCCTGGGAAGATGACACGATGGTTGGATGTAAATACATGGCAACATCGACGGGCCCGCCGTGCCACTTTCGACATCGGCCCATAACCCATCCAGCGTCTGGGCTGTTTTCGATTCGCAGGAATCGGTACTGCCGGCTCTCTTCAAGTCGTAGCTCCACCACATCAAGTCCGCTCCCATGTCCCTGCAAAGTTTACTCGATTTTGCCAGCCTTGTCCTCTTTGGGGTTTACGAGGTAAGCATAATTGTGAACCCCGTTAAGGCATTAAGGGACTTATAACTCTACCCTCCAAGTAGAAGCCTGAATACTCAAGGTAGGGGCTTGGAGGCTTCTATACTACAGAGCTATTATGCTTGCTTTTTGGTGCCTCTTCCAAACTGCAAAGGCTGGAGGGGCGTTTGGGGTTGAGGGATAAGGCAAACCTTAATATGATATTGAAACGTCGTGCTTTTGTTCCTGGGCTCTGAAACAACCAGGAAGACAATCACAATAATACAACTTGTATTCGCTAATGGCTCCATTCAGAAACAGTCTGAAGACGTAATGATTAGAGTTTGCAAAGCTCGAACACACGGTCGATGACAGTGCCTGCGGCGAAGTGGTGCGTCGCCTGGACCGGCCTGAGATCGATAAATTGTTTTTCCCCGTCTCTTCTGCGAATGTTTTTTGAAGCAGCAGCAGCAGCAGCAGCAGCAGCAGGAGCAGAAACACCACCTCCGCTAGCACCTGGCCAAAGGCACCTTGATTGGACTGGGTTTCAGCTCATACACATCTTATACATAGTACCGGCTCATGGCGACGGAAGCTCATGAGCAACATGGTCACAATCACAGCCATCATCGCCAGAAGGGCTTACCGACACACACACACACAGAGATACATATTATATATATATATAGATATACACACACAAATAGCACTGTGGACTAGCACCGTCATTAAAACTAACAGCGATACATACATGGAACCCATGCTTCGATGTCGAAAAAACAGGCGGCCGGAAAACATTAAATCTTGAGATACAACGGCGGGGACGAGCACTTGTCAATTGCACCACTTGCCAGCGACTAAGATATCGCGATGGCACAGAGATACTTTCGGCTTCTGGTATCATATATCCGTCAGCAAGGTCATCGACATCTTCGCTTTATCCGAGCCGTTCTGGCCCATCATCCTTACCAGCATCTCGGCTCGTGTACAGTGTGACCTTGCGATGAAGGTCACTCAGAATCAAAAGCACGTGTTAAAACTGTTATGCGTTTGTCCCACATTGCTGCATAACGCTTGACGGCAGCATGCAATCGTGATGCCTTCTGCCCCAGCTTCCAACATGGGAGTTTCCGAAAATCAGGGACCTAATATAGTACCCTAAATAGTAGGATCCTTCTTATAAGGAACCCAAAATAAGGAACCCAAAACTTTCGGAAACTCCTGCAAAGCTTCATCGGCTTAGCAGCGAGGATCGCTCGCACGACGGACGTACAGTGCTTCCTCTATACCCAAGCCTTTGGTGTTGGAAAACTAGGCTTGTACAAATCACCCGTTAATTAGGTACGGCCCCCATGCAGTAAGAGTCTATAATAGGGCTACTATTAAGGTCCTACTATATCTATATTATGAATATTATTCAACTATTACTGAGTGGGGGCCGTACCCAACCCGTTAGACAGTAACAAAAACACTCTCAACCCAAGAGGGCAAGGCCAAAAACACCCCTTACACCCGATTACAGCCCTCTACAGCTGAGTTGAAACCCTCGCACCTAGCACGAACTCCACAACTAAACATCTAAACGCCTAAACCACGAAATCGCAAAACGCCTAAACCCCAAACCCTAAACCCTAAAGCCCCAAACCCTAAACCCCCTGAACCTAAACCCTAAACCCCTAAATACCCTAAACCCCTAACCTAAACCCTCCCAAACCTCAAAACCCCTAAACCCCTAAGCCCCAAACCTCCAAACCCTAAGTTGCACATAGAACCCCAAACCCTAAACCCCCTGAACCTAAACCCTAAACCCCTAAATACCCTAAACCCCTAACCTAAACCCTCCCAAACCCTGAGCTCCAGGAATCGCAAAACGCCTAGACCTCAAAACCCCTAAACCCCTAAGCCCCAAACCTCTAAACCCTGCAAACCCTAAGTCTTACATAGAACCCCCTGAACCCTAAAGCCCCAAACCCTAAACCCCCTGAACCTAAACCCTAAAACCCCCCCAAACCCTGAGCTCCAGGCGACTTTCGCCCTCCGCAAAGCCGCCTCAGCAGCCTCGAGCTGCTTGGGATTAGGGCCACGGTTTAGGGATTAGGTTTTAAGGTTTAGGTTTTAAGGTTTAGGGATTAGGGTTTAAGGTTTAGGAACTAGGGTTTGAGGATTCGGGTTTTAGGGTTGAGTTTAGGCATTAGGGTTTAGGATTTAAGGATTAGGCTTTAGGGTTTAGGATTTAGGGATTAGGTTTTAAGGTTTAAGGATTAAGGTTTATAGGGATTAGGGCTTAAGGTTAAGGAACTAGGGTTTAAGGATTCGGGATTAGGGTTTGAGGTTTAGGGATTAGGGTTTAAGGTTTAGGGATTAGGTTTTAGGGTTTTAGGGTTTTGGGTTTAGGGTTTAAGGTTGAGGGATTAAGGTTAAAGTTTAAGATTTAGGGATTAGAGATTAGGGTTTAGGGACTAGGGTTTAAGGTTTAGGGATTAGGGTTTAAGGTTTAGAGATTAGGGTTTTGTGTTTAGGGTTGAGGGATTAGGGTTAGGTTTAGGGCTTAGGGAGTGGAAGGCTTGGTATTTGGGGTGGGGCTTAGGCCAGGACCCCATGGGTTTACAGGGCTGAGAATAAGGAGCATTGAGGAAAAGCGAATGCTTCACTCCCAGTGCCAGTAGCGCCCATTGGAACCTGCGCATCGCAACTTGATGCTAACAAAGCAGCATTCTTTCTGCCCTGAGCCGAACTCCTACACCCGTGAACTTTACCCAAAATTGCCCTTCGGGCCTGGATGAGTTTAAACCCTGGAAGGGACTTAGGGTTCAACGTTTAGGATTTGGTGTACCTACAGATGCGATGCAGGGTCTCACTTGCTAGCATCCTGAAGCTTTCAAATCCAAAACAAAGTAGGACCGAATTTCGAAGAAGCCATGCCTCCACTCATAAACTTCTAAGGTTGAACCCAAAATCAAAGTGTCCAAAGCACGCCTAAAGCACCTGAACCGTGAACCCCCATACAATCCTGAAGCCCGGAATTATGAGATCGTATAAGCCCAAATCCCTTCCTGAAGGGTCATACCCTTGTACGTTGTTTTACGGTTCGGATCTTTCATATAAAGAATCTGGGGTAACTAGGTACCCTAAAATCGGGTCGGGTATGACCCTACAGGCAGATCCCAGACGATTGCACACTCTCTGAGCAGCAGACCCGGGTCGACCCGGACTGTTTGAGGTCAAGGGCTTTTCTTCTACCTCAGCTCTACATGGCTCTGGATATTCTTGCACGCCCTTAGAGCCACAATAAGCACATGTTTGAAAACCTATGACAAATATGAACATCCTTAGTGCTCCGGGGTTTTTTAAGGTTACGGATTACAGGGCCGTCTTCATGGCTATTGGGCTCTCCTCGGGCTTCAGGGCTTTGTCAGCCCCTTTTGAGAGCAACCCCAAACCCTAAACCCTAGATCCTAAACCCTAACCCCTAAACCTCTAAACCCTACACCCTAAACCCGAACCCCCAAACCCCTAAACCCTGAACCCTGCACCCTAAACGGTTTTAGGGTTTGCTCTACGGCTTTCCTATGACGGCTTGGAGTCGTGTGCGGCTTTGCGGCCCAAGGGCATTTTTTTTGGATTGAGGGTTTATCGTAAGCCCCCAAAACTTGGAAAAAGGATTAAGGATAATTAGTGCGGGGATTCCCCATACCTGACTCTTGAGCATTGAGGCTATTGGGCTTCCAACTTTTGGGCTTCTACTGTAAGGGTGTCATGGCTTTTGGAGTCAGGGCTTCACGGCGTCCTGGCTTAAGGCTGTCGGGGTGGAGAGTCCTGCGTTGTAGGTGAGGGTTTAAGGTTTATCAGGCTGGAGGCCTATGGAAACTCTGGTCCTTCTATACTGTAGTATACAGTATACTGACTATTTGCTACGTAGGAGGTAATATAATATTGTATGGTGTAATATAGTATAGTATAGTGTAGTTCGAACCTCAGAGGGAGAAACAGCGTTGGGCTTGGGGCGATCAACTCAGATCGGCAGCGCACCCCACTGTGCCGATTAGACTGCTTTAGGGGCTATAGCATTTCGAACAGAGTTGTGGGCCGTCGTTACAGTATACTCGAAACAAGGAACTCTAGGGAGTACTAAGTCAAGATATTCGCAGGGTTCTAAATTACAAACTACATGCTAAACCGTGCACCCTAAAAGAGCTCGAGGTTCTATCGGTTCAGCTAAGAGCTAGGCCTTGGGTTATGCAGTCTTACTCTATCTTGCTCTATCTCATGCTAAGGAATTTTGATGTCTGCTATCACACTGCAGGTGTCGAAGAGCAAGTGCTGCAGGCTATGGCGACAGTGGAAAGAACTGCAACAACGATGACAGCCCGCAGGCATTGGGGGTTCAAGGGGATCTAGGGCTTTGGGGCTTTTGAAATTTTGGGTGTAGGCTGTTCTGGCTTTGGAGCTTTCTTGGGTGGAGGGGTTCTTCAGAGGTTTCTGGTTTGGGAGGCTTTAGGGTTTAGAGCTCAGGGTGTAGGACTCTCGAGCTGACGTCCGGGCTTCGGGTCTCAGTTACAGATGCTCAGGGAGCACGGTGCCAAACAACATGTCCCGTAAGCCATGACGGGAAACCCGACCAAAGCTAGTTGTAGGAGCATTTTGTCAGGGAAGTGCTTTGGAATCTGTGAGTGTGTATGATATCATGCTTCGAGCACAAGCCGTGCGACTCCCTCACTCTCCTACAGCAGAAGCCGGATTCAGCCTACCCGGATTGTGATCATCAAGAAACGCGTTTAACCGGCTGAACCTGTCTTGAAAGTTAGGGGTTTCAGTTGGTTCATAAAGCTGTAACGCCAGACTTGAGCACACATGCCGGCTGCCTCCATCATGACCATGTACGGTGCACGCGCTTTCGATGACAGCACCCGTGCCTGGTACAGAGATTCAAGCTGGCGTGCCAGGCGAAACGGCTTGACGCTTTGAGGCCCTGTCGTAGCTATGAGATTGTTTGTTAACAGCCGGCAAGAACAGACAATTCCGAAAAGAAAAGGAAGTGACTAGCTAGATGTAAAAAACTTGAACCACAAACGTTCTGCGCAGTAAGCTAGGCTGCTGAGTGCCTGCATGGCCTTCGGGCCAGACAAGACAGTGCCCGTTTGCAGTCTGTCATGTGTCCACCAGCAGCAACAACTCTGATTTTCCAGACCGTGCTGAGACACAAAGGAATCTGCGATGGTGGTATTTCTGGTGAAATTCCGGACCATGATGACAATGATTGATGACGGTTATGCTGACAATGACGATGCTGAGATAGAACAAAAAAGACTCTGATGAAAATGTTGGTGGAAATGGCCCTGCCCATGATGATGACTCAAAGGAAATGATGATGAAAAGGCAGAGTAAGGCACTGATGACGATAATAGACGTGGTGGCGCTTGTTGAAGTGGTGTGGGTGACTGCCTCATGCTGATGACGATGACGAGAAGAATGATGACGACGATGCCGACGTCATCAAACATGGACATTGCAAACCTGTCACCGGACCCTCGACTTCTAAGCCCTATAAACCAAGCCCGAAATCCTAAACCCCTGTAGTTTTAAAAACCCTAACACCCTGAACACAAACCCTAAACTCTAAAAGCCCTAGAACCCTAATCCTGAAAACTAGTGTGCGTGGTTGCGGGCTCTCGCCGCCCCAAGTGCGCACTAGTGCGACAGTGCCTTTAGTGGCGAACTTTCAGTCGACCTTCTCCAGGCGAAGCTTGTTGGCTTTCGGTGTATCCATCTCCCGGGCTTAGCGGCCTACCCGCGTGCGGCTGCAACGCCTCTTCGTGGCGAGGCTTGCTTCCTGTAGTTAGCCATTTTGGGTCATGCCTGCCTCCAGTACTTGCCCGTCCTCGGTCTACACAGTCTGCGGCTGTAGCACCGGCGGATGGTGTGCAGCAGCAGCCTGGAAGCAGCAACAGCAGCAGCAGCAGCAGCTGCTGGAAGTAGGTGGGTTGTTTCGTTTGTGCTTCTGTTGTCGCACGTTTTTGTTTTGCTTTTGTTCGTTTGTGTTTTTGTTTGTTTTCGTTATTGTTTTGTTTGTTGTCGTTTTTGCTTTGTATGTTCTTCTGCGGTTTGATCCCTAAGCCTTCGGGCCGGAGGTGATAGGCCGGACTTTGCCCTGGCCACTCTCCACTCTCCTAGAAACCCTAAAAAGAAAACCTAAACCCTAACAGCCCTAAAAGAAAATCTAAACCCTAAAACCCATAAAAGAAAACCTAAACCCTAAAAGCCCTAAACAACGCTAAAGCCCTCATAAGCCTGAAAAGCCCCAACCTCTCCAAACACCCTGAAACCCCAGAGCCTCGTGGCGATTAATCCGCAGCAGCGATGCGACATCTCCAGGTAACGGCTTCCTCTTGGGCTGTAGGGTTTTAGGGTTTGGGGTTTTTCAGGGTTCAGGGTTAGGGGCTGAGTAGCTTAGCCGCCAAAAAGTTGACCACTTGATTTATGTTCGGATTAGATCTTTAAATCCCGAGAGGTTAAAGGTTACGTACCCGGCTACTAAGAAATAACTAGTAAGCCCCTCTAGTAAAGGTTCAAGGTTCAGCCTCAGCGGTTCAAGACTCATGACCGCTCACCCTATACTCTATACCGTCAGGAGCTGAGAGTGGAACGGTTTAGGGCTTTTGGGGTCTAAGGTTACGGGGGCCAGGGGTTGTGGGGTTTGGGGATTCAGGGCATCTTGGCTGAACAACCCTGCAAAAATCCAAGTACCAAGGATGGAAGTATCGAAAAGGCTGGTAGTAGTAATCAAAACGAAGGTGAGCCGCGGTGAAGACATAAACTGCGACATCATATTTGCCAGAACTGATGTCATCAACATTCCAAACATCAATTATATTGCATTATCATCGCCAAGAGCGTAGACCATCGCAACGAGTGCGGCAAGTAAGTCCATCGCAAGGGGGGCTTGCTATAACTATCTTCAAGTACCGACGAACTAGTACGAGTGGCATAGCCCCAATGTTTTGGAAAGTAAGTCAGTGTCGTCATGAACCTATACAAAACTGTTACGGTAGCATTGACACTCCTCTGCCCAGCGTGCGGAGCCAACATCTGTGCAGGCACCTCACACGGGTTCAAAAACAGGCTCTACAAGGCTTTCTCGTAAGGCTGGTAAGGAGTGTCTTTAAGGTGTCGTTTAGGATTTATGGTTTAGGTCTTAAGGCTCACGGCTCTACTGGGTGGCTTTTGGGACTTCAGTAACTGTGGTAGAGTGGGGGAGGCCCTGGAACTTGGAGCGGTTTCTGGGGTTGTGCTTTGAGTAAGGGCTCCCAAAAGTACTTGTGAAACGGTACCTCTGTACAACCAGAGGGGGAATTCAAAAGTGGCTTAAAGCTCCAGCTAGAATTAGAAATTAGTAAGGTTTGCCGAAACCCTAAAAGTATGTCAATATTTGACCTACTCTTGGGAGATTGGGTGGTGCCAAAGGTTTCTGGGTAAACCCCTGAACCCTAAACCCTAAACCCTAAACCCTGAACCCATAATCTTCAGTTGAAGATCTTCAGAGGCGAGGGGCCGAAGGTTCGGAGCTGTAGGCCTGAATCCTCGACCCTGGCGTCTGCCTAAGCCCCCCCCCAAAGTAGATAACATGATGGCCCAACACCCTAAACCCTCAACCCTGCACCCGACACCTATAAAAGGCTGTTGTTCGACATGGGTAGTTGTGAAAATTAAGATCCCTTTTCGGGTACCCTAAACAATAGGTGCAGTATTACATTCAGGACCCAAAAAGGGACCATAATATTGACAACCACCCACGTGCTTCTGGAGTCCGGGTAGGTTCGAGGATATGAGGTTCAAGGCTTAGGGTTGATGGGCTTTAGGGCATAATTGTGGGGCTGAGGGCTTGGCTTGTAGAGTTTGGGGCGTCGTCGTAGGTTTTAGAGAAGTACACAAAACAGTGGTATTCCCAAGTATCTGGGCTTCCATATGGAAGCTTCCGGAATTAGGGGAACTTGACATAGCACCTTGAATAGTGGGATCCTTATTTTAAGGACCACAAAATCAAAACAAGGCACCCCTCATTGTCGGAAACTCTCACATTATACTTGTCTGCGACCCAGGAACCTGACCCGAAACCCGAAAGAGCTCAGCCGTCCCGCCCTAAACCTTTTACCAAAGGGTCCAAGTAAAGAAGGACTAATTACTTGGACCCGTGGGGTACATCTGTAGCCTCACACTCGGCTGTTACAGTATCACACAGCAATTCTAAAAAAGTCTAGCTTCGAAAACGTTGGTGCCGGAGCCAGAAAGACCCTAAAGACCCTACATTCACCCCCACACCCCCAACCCCTGTTGGACTCGACCCTAGACCCTGAACCCCTTTTGACCGCAACCAACCAACCCATTTTGGACTCGACCCAAAACCCTAAACCACCCTTTGGACACCAAAAAACCCCAAAATTGTTCTTGGATCCCAGGCAGGGGTATCATCTTTCAGATACTTGTTGATCTCCTGGCACAGGACTTCCCACGAACTTTGCGGAGTGATGATCTAAGGGCTTGGGTTTAAGGGTTTACTTAAAGGATCATGGGACTTAGTAACTAGGGCTACAATTAAGGCAACTATACTTGTCGTTACGTATAACCTCACTTAGGGTACTTATAACCCCACTTACTAAGTCCCATGATCCTCCAAGTAGACCCTAAACCCTAAAGCCTTTTAAGGAACCCTGTTGATCAACATCAGGTTGATCTTCTGAATTTGGGTTCTCGTTCTGAGTGGCCATGGTGATCTTGAAGAGGTTGACGAGAAATCAATCAAGTCAGGGGACGCACGACCATGGGCTTACACTCGTTTTACGCTCAAATCAAAGCTTCAGTGCGCTAAGCCTTTAAGGCGTCGCTACATTCTCAAGCTGTGACAAGCTGCTAGCATGCAATCACTGGACTCTGTCCTAGTTCGAGCCTTCAAGGCTTTAATTCACAGAAGAGTGAAGCTACGACCGAACTCGAGTCTCACAAGCAGTTCGGGAACTCAACACTCCTCCTTGAAAGACCTTGTGGTGGTCCTTTCACCTCCTATATTCCCGGACGCTCAGCTGCTGTGAGACAATAGCGACAGAACATTCTCCTATTCAAGCTAGAAGTTCCTCGCAGCGCCTGGCATTCAGGAAAGAGGTGGACCGCTCCAGGTGTTCGGCTACTAGTTGTGATCAGTTGAATATCTCGCATTTGCATAGGGGTGAGACCTGGCGGAAAATCGGTCTGGGTAGCAACTTCCCTTTGGGTAACATGGGTCTGAACGCCGGAGGCCAACGATGAAGCAGGATTATTGAAGGTGGGTATCCCAAGTCCAGGTGGGTGAGTGGAGGAAGGTATCGAGGCGACATTCACGGATCGAGAGCAGGAAGAGGCAGGTGCAGTACACGGATCAGGTTCAGTAACTGCGGCAGCTGGGTTCCTAACCTCGGCAAACCTTGGAATAGGCAAGTCGGGTTCCGAAGTCCATCGATTCCCAACATTCACCTGTACGATAGGAGGCGATGTAACACTCAGCTCTTGCGCCTCTGCAGTCTCCCGATCGTGCCTTCGGGACCTCAAACCTTCTCCCTCAGTCTCATGCTCTATTGCCCTTCTTACAGCCTCCTGTCTCCTCTGACGCCTTGTCCTTTGCGCATCAACCTCCACATCATCAGCTGAGACGGTACGCACCCTATAATCATTGTGTCTGCAGCATCTTCCAAAGCAAAACTTCCCGGTTTCCCAAAGGAATAAAACAGACAACATCATCATAACCACAACGGCCGAGAGCTCCAAACTCAGGGGCTCAATCTGGTCCTCGTCTTCTGTGGCCTCTGATTCAATCATCTGCATAGCCAAGACCAACAACACCAGTTTTAGTCTACTGTCACCGGCAGAGAAGGTAACTGGACCTCCTTCGATACGGCAAACCTGATTCATAAGGACCTCCCTTGACTCAACACACAGGCCAATGAGTGCGGTTAATGTGGCATGCCTTGGGCCAGGTAGCACCTTTGTGAGAAGGTCAGCAAGCTGGACCTCTCCCGGACAGTGCTCAACACAAAGCTCCTTCCTATCAACCTGGTCCCGAACAAAGTTTGCCCGTACCCTCAAATGCCTTGTCCTCTGCGTTCCTGCACCTTCGGCGAGTGCTATAGCTGCCATATTATCAACCAGCAGCAGCTTTACACCGATGTTCTCAGTGAACTCTCGAATCAACGCTTCAGCACTTTGTCCTATCACAACACCTTCACATGCGGCGATCAACTCCGATTCTGCCGTGGAGAGCGACACAAGTGCTTGCCTCTTAGCCTTCCACGTTACCGGTCTTCCCCGGTATAGGACTAAAATCCCTGAGGCACTATGTGAACCGTACGGTGCGAAGGAAGCATCAGTATAAATTACCACTTTATTTTCAGCTTCACGTGGTATCAGTGAGAGTCTCATTTCCCTGGTGGCACCAAGGTAGTGCAGCAACCTTAATCCCAAGCGCACAACAAACTCTGGCGACTTCGTACACCAAGAACTCATCAAGGACACGGTATACGCGGCATCAACCCGCGTTCTCTGGGTCAACCACAGAAGTTCTCCGGTTATCCTTTGAGCACGCCTTAGAGTATCAGGAGTAAACCCCTCTTCCAAGTCAGGTGCTTCTCGAACCCACTCCCTAGGAACCGGGGTGTTGTCTTGGGACTATATCATACATTCTCAAGAGTTCTTCTATGTAACCCTTTTGACCCAAAAGGAACCCTTGTGTGCCCCCAGCGTCACTTCCAACTCCAATCTCAACTCCAAGGAATGTGACCGAGGAGGTCTCAGTGGCTTCCTCCAGGTCAGTGCATTGCCATACGCTCTTCAACCAAGCGTGAGCCTTCCGGGCTTCTTCACTTGTCGTAAGAAACATCATATCATCCACGTAAATGATGACGAAACCCACAACTTGATCTTTGTCATTCATCATTTTCCACACGTTGCTCTCAGATTGGGATTGAGAGAGATGGGTTATCCCGGTGACGCCTTCCCAACGGGCACCACGGAGCTTACCATCTCTAAACTCACTCCACCAACGCGGACTCTGGCGAAGTCCGTACACCGCTCTACAAACTTCCCAATATTCACCCGGACTGGTGATTCCCATCTGTTCCAGCAACTTTGGTGGCCTTAACAATATTTTTCCGACCATTTCCTTAGGCAAGGGCGCAAGCAAGAAAGCGTTTTTTATATCAGTGATAAAGGCCAAGAACCGACGGAAGGAAGCTTCAACCAACACCATACGCAATGCCTCTGCTGGGACACCACTGGCATACAGTTCTTGAGTGGGGTCCTTCTCTTCGAAGTTCCCACAACCCACTACCCTGCATTTCCTGCGAAACCAGGTGTCTGTTCCTGGTTTCACTGTGAAGACAGTCTTCGCCGGTAGGACCTGAACGCCCGGTTGCGCGATTGCCCTTTTGGCTTCTTCTCCCGTAACTCTTCTTATACCTGACATCCCTACGAGAGCCTCAACCTCTGCCCTTGCTGCGGGTACCCACTCAGGAATATGCTTCCTAATTTCTTCGGGCGACACGTTATGAACAACCTTAAGGCTCTCAGTGAGGCCAGCAAGGAGTTCCTCTACGTTCCTTGTGTAGAACGACTCGTCTACCCTAAAAACCTGTGGGTCTTTACCAGAACTCTTGAGACTTCCTCCGAGAGCAGCCAATGGATTATCAGTCGGGATTCCAATCTGCTGGCTTTCGCACGAAGGTCCAGGGGCATCTAAGTTCAACCCTAGATCAGTTGGCGATATGCAGTGCGCCTCGGAATCCTCGACGCTCGTAACCATTCTACAGGAATACTCTTCGGACTGAACATCATCCTGTGAGTCAATGCCTTCGGATTCATTCTCGTTGGTGTCCCGAAGGAATTGCATTGCTTCCGGTGGTGGATAACCCGGAGGTGGATCTGGCTCCTCCTCGTCCCAGAGAGCCTGCATATACATTGCATGAAAGGCATAGACCTCATCAACCGTAGGCATCCTTTCTTGGCCCGTAGACGTTGCAATCTCACTCGCTTCTACACCGTCATTAGAAGAAGTGGGTACAGCGGGG